TGAAACGCTATGCTCACTAGAGTATGCAGTGTACACAGTTACTTTTGGCAAAGTTTAACATAAGCCATGGTTTTGATCCACTAGGATCTGATCGCTGCATTCCACTGCACTACAGGTCAAGACAGAACTGCTTAGCTGCCTGGAACGAGTCAGCGTCTAGTTCTTTCTGTAAATCTATGTAACAGGTCACAATAAAACAGAATCTTCAATTTGATGTCAAAATACCATTTATAACCCAAACATCTATTCATACTCTGAATATAGGCATCATTTCTTGCAGAGGTCAATAGCATGCATCATTTTCTTTCTAATGATGCACATAAAAACGAACAAATCAGTTTTACGTTGACATTCCACATTTTGAATAATAAAATAAGTGCACTTAATGACTTAACTTGATGAGTAAATGTGTATCTGTTTTTCCAGGCACAGGGAAATGGATGAAACAAAGGAATGTCCAGAATACATCGTATTACCTGAGGGTCAAAGGGGATGCAGGTTTCCTCGAGAATCACTCTTGGAGTTCTCCAAGTTTAATTTATGTGTAAATGGATCCTCTCCAGCAGGAAGTCTGAGAACGGCCTACTTTTCTATTGAGGTCCAAAACCATGGTAACTACACAATGCTTTATACTTGTCAGAATAAATCTCACACAATAAGTCTAGAAACTGCAAACTTGGCTAACTAGGGACATATACAGAATAAGCACCTGGTCTGACTCAATAGTAAAGTGCATTTAAAGAACGTATTCCTCATTTTCTTCTCACTTTCTTTCTCTGGGCAGTAAAACCAGCCGTGGTCTCCTCTGTGCATGTCTCGGAGACTGATGGAGGTTTGAAGTTAGATTGGTCACCACCTAGTGGTCGGGTGCCAGAACACTGCTTGGAATATGAGGTGGAAAGCAGCACTGCGATGGAAAATGGCAAAGAAAAGCAGGTATTTTAATCTTTATTTCTTCTGTCCAGTGCAGTTAGATCATTCAAATCAAAAATAAATGTCACAGTGAAAAATAAACGTTGTCCTCAGCTCTATTTTGCAAACCCTTTTTGTTGCTGCATATTTTAGGTGCCTCACATTTTACACATGCAATTCTGATTATAGAGTACTAATTGGCTGATAAGAATCAGACATATTAGATAAGGGAAACATCCGAAATGCCTTCAGGAGATGGACTGGGGAACACTGATGACAAAGTTTTTTATAGCTTTGTAACATCCAGTAATTGTAAACAACACTTGTCTACATGAACAACTGCCATTCACTTGTATTTCATTCTGAATCTTGGCATGCACTGTTAAACCAAGATTTGCTTTAGGTAGTGTGCCAATACAAACATCAAAAAGAGCAGGAATTCAGTCTGTCAAAAGCACCCATGTTGTCTTTATTTTTCCCCTTTAGGAAAGGATGGTTTTTCAGAATTTAGTGGACACATCTTATGGCCTTCTGAGAGGGGTAGAAAGTCAGAAAACTTGCTTTCGAATCAGATCAAAGGTGAACATGTACTGCGCTGATGGAGGAATTTGGAGTGACTGGAGCCAAACAAAGTGTACAGGTTAGAGCTACCGATTTAAGAGTTTTCAGTCATTCTGATCTTCCGAAACATTTATAATTGACATGTGTTTATGAATATTTAAAGATAGTTAACATGCTCTTGAAAATTCGTATGGTTAATCATCCTTATATTGTAAACAGTCCTTTCCATTTTAAATTTCTAATGTTAGTTTTGATCATTTATAACTTTTTCCTCCTGTCACCATCAGAAGATAAGGAAACTCGATACATCCCAGCATGGAAATATCTCAGTCTGGTGGGCCTGGTGGTCATTGGCATTGGCATCCTCTGTCTTTCATTATGGATATTAAAGAAGATGTAAGTATATGGCCAATAGATTTATAAATAAACAGATGCATTTACAGATTCTTTGATGTTTATTCCTGTTCCCACAGTTGCATAAAAAAAATCAACAAAAAGGATGCCCTCTATACTTTATACAAGGAGAAGGTCAACAAGACCATGCCCACTATCCTCAGCCCTATTTTCAAGTGATGCTCCCTATGACCTGCTATGCTGAACTACTGTTTTAGCAGTTCTAAACTGCAGTAAAAGCACACTACTCAGAGAAACAAACCTGAGAAGTGAGACTTCAACACCCTTAGTGCATTTAAAGTGACAGCTGATAGAACCAGTAATCTTGTGAAATAGATATGTGGAGACCTAAATGAACCACGGCACTGACCTTAATGTATGTACTACTTTGTTTACCAAGCCACTGTACTAATATGTGATACACGCATATCATGTGTCACTTAAAGTTACTCATAGATTTTTTTCAAATGCCAATGATCTTGCCAATTTAATCAATGATTTTTCAAACGCCAATGATCTTGTCAGATTTATTTTTCTATCAGCTTTTTTGCGGTTTCACTTGGATGTATGACTTTCAGTATTTGAGTTTATTTTACTGCTGATTACATAATGAAGAAATCAGGAGTAAAGAGTATTCATACACTTTGGAAAAAAGTGCAAACTTTTAAATACATTATTAAAATAAAAAATTTTCTTGAATTTATAATCTGTTTGTGTAAGTTTTTGCAATAGATACAATCAACAAGAAGTCTGTAAAACACCACCACTGTGCACAGATAAGCAGTTACAAAACATATTAGCATTCTTGTTCAGTTCCTAATCAGAACATCAAAGCCCCCATGGTGGTCATCATCACTTCCTGTGCTGACTAGACCTGGTGAGTATGTATCGTGACTGGAATGGTGATGTTTGGGTGGGTCATCATGACATAGTATAGTACAAATGACGCACTGCATTACCTCCATGAAACGGGGAGTCACTGTTTTCATAGAATTATTGCTCAGGCAACAAGCAGTGTTATTTTGATAACGTTCTACATTCACATGTTGTCAAGCCGCAGTCCTCCAATAGTAAACCAACTTACTTTTTTTACCCTACAGATTTAATGTTGATGGATCCTAGTGTGGTATCCACACCCTGCTCGCTTTATGACTCAGCTTGCCTAGAAATAAGAAGTTGTTAAAGGGATAGTGCTCCCAGAAATGAAAACTACCCTCATGTCAATACAAACCTGTATGTCACCCCCCAAAAAAATTTTTTTAAATAATAATAAAAGTAAATGGAATGGAAATTTTCTAACATTGAATTAAACATTAAAAGTAGTAAGACTGAAATTGTATTTTCTTATATACTGTGATACTTCAATCATCTTTGTTTTATTTACAACTTCAAAAATTATTTTTACAGTGTTCAGCAGAATGTAATAGCCTAAATATCTCTTTGTTAGAGTGTTTTGAATCCTATTGAATTCAGGTTGGGTCACTTATTGATATTGATATGGTCAAAATGCTCCAATTGACCCAAATTCATCCTGTTTTTGTATCTAAGTTTAAATTGTAAAATTGTACATACATATAAATAAATAAATCTTGTACAATAGCCTATTTGTGTTGTTATTATAACTTAAGCAAGTATAGAGTCATTGAATTCATCTTATAAGGCAGTTTCAGATAACTAAGGGTTTGTGTGTGTACTGTAGTTAACAGTCATATTTGTTTTAAGTATGGAATTTAAATTGACTGATAGCAGTTAACATTATCAGTGAAGCAGTAAAGTACACCCTCCTCAGTTTTTAAACACCAAGTTGTCTTGAACAGATAAAGATCATTAATACTGTAATCCTCTATTCAGCAATCTCACAATATCAACCTTGATAATCACCTAGAGCTATAGTATTCACTGGAATAAGGAAAACCAAGGAACCAAGTCATTTCCAAGTAAAGCTGCACATCAACCTTGACCACCAGCAAGCATGCCAGCCACACACAAGGTGGCTATTCATCAGAAAGTGGAAGACAAAAACATCAGTGAAATTGCACTCAAGATGAGTCGAAGGTGAACCATCCTGTGTGAATATGATTTGATGAGCTCAACACTAAAAAATGAATGCAGACTAGATTGCTGAAGATGATACATGCACTGGTCATATCCTGTAGTAGAGGTACTTCCAGAATGCCATATCCCAAACAATGCAAGACACAGCTTCTGAAGAACCTCAGTAATGATATTGCTACGGCATCTCCCAAGAGTCACACAATCAAACTCTTGAGAGTTGTGTTCAATAAATTAAAGACTATCTATCACTACTATCACTGTTTAACCCTAAATTGCAAAAATTGTGAATTCTACAAGCAAAACTTTCTTTGGATGTATCTTCTCTTCCAGTAAACCCAAAAAGTAATTCTCCAAGCGACCCCAAGGACCCGGGAGAACTCAGAAGCCGTCTCTGTAAGGAAGCTTCTGATGAAATTTTTTTTCCACCATTACAGCGACACACATATCACAAGCTGACCCCCCCCCCCCAAAAAAAGAGTGAAATTGCTTAAGCTAACTTGCACCACCACAATACCGGTGGGCTGCTGATGACCTCTGAATCATTGTCTTTCCAGTAGGCCACTCAGCTATATGGAGCTGTTAGCATTTCCATGAGATCATAATAAATGGATTATTGATAACTGTCCTGGTCAATTAAAACAAGACTATAGAATACCCAAGACGTGTCACTCGTATAGTTGTGAATGGAGGAAAAATGCAACACTCAAGGTTGCTCTATCGAAGGAAGCCCCACCTTCTGAGTAAAAGAGCCAATCGCTAATCTGTAACGTCATCGTGTCACTGCAGCTGCCGTTAGAAGTCCCGGTTTCTATTGTCCCTGCGTTCCATTCGGAAGGGCTCATCCCTATGCCCTAATCCCTTCAAAGGGTTTACCTTCCGGAGTGAGAGCTTCGAAGGGTTGAAGGGTGTAGGGGACCAAACAACTGTTTCTTGAAGTGCCCTTCTGCGTCATCATCACGTGCCCACAGCGACAGGCTATTGCCTTGTCCAAATACCCACACTTGCGGCCTTTGAACTTGACCACTTGACTACTTCTATGACGTATTTCCTGTATTTGGTCCAAGTGTTCAAGTGAGCATGAAGACCACAAGTGTGTGTAGAACTTTTCATTACCTGATGGGACACACTTATAGTGTTGTAAAAATGCAAGTGTTTACAGAGCTTTATTTTTATTTTCAATACTTTGCATTTTAAAATCAACTTCTAAATGTCTGTTCAGTAGTCCCTATAACAGATGACACAATTTAATTTTGTGGTGCTTCTAGTGATAAAAAGCAGTTGCAAATGTTGTACAAAATAATTATCACCACTACTCATTTGCACCAATAAAACATGCAACTCTTTGTTTTACTACCAAATTATATGTAATATCTAATTATTATTAATATTTCACATACATTGGAAAGGTTTCCTTGACCTCTCACGATAGAGGCTATTTACACTAAGTTAAAATAGCATATTTTCTTAGCGATAGATGCTATTTACACTAAGTGCAAATAGCTATAGATTCTATTTATACTATGTTAAAATAGCAGGATATTCTGCTAATTACTTATTGCAAATAGTGGCAATTATCTGCACCTCAGCATTGTAATACATTATAAAACAGTATGCAATAATATCTTATTGAGTGTAAATTTTCATTATAATTCAAATTATTAAATGGATGCCACCTTATTGGGGCAAAAGCCCTCCCTACACCTACCCTAACCCTACCTGATACTTTATTTTCAACTTTTGATTATTTCCTTCGTTTTTATTAAAAATAAATGCTTTTCTGATGTCATTTGAAATTTGAAAAGGGTGAAAAAAAGTTCGCCAAAAGGCAGATTCGAACCCAGGTCGAGTACGCCTATGACACATGCTTTACCATCTACGCCACTAAATCTGACGATTAATGACCGTCTTTTGTAATGTTAACTAGCCCAATCACACGTTGGTGGGTAGAATTAGCGTAAACAGCCTCTGCCAACAAGACTGGCTATTTGCACTTAGTAAAAATAGACACTCCGATTTTTTTTTTAAATTCCCAACAGTTAAAACAGTTGCCCACAGAAAAAAACAGGGGGTGCTGCAGCACCCTCAGCAACCCCACTTCCCCCGCTTATGAAAATACATATTTTATAGTTACTGCTATGCCTAGGCTATTGATCATAATCATAGCTAAAAAGCTTCCTACCAGTGGCCCTCCTTCACAAGACGTATCATCAAGCACAGTTTTATCATAGGTTGAATGCAAAATGTTTCAATACAAGCATTTCAGTCAAATGTAATGTATGCAACATTTCAAGCCTTTAACCCACTGGGGGAAAATCAACCCATGTCAAGAGTTTAAAAGTAGCCCAATTCGGACTTGACAACCCTGCATCAGGAATCTTCAAGAATCAAGAATCTTCGCTTTGTAGTACTAGTTCGTGACAGGTGTTTTGTTTTGCTTTCTCCTCTGTGCTCCCGCGTTCATCTTACCTTGCGCCTTCCGCTACGCCTACGTCCGAACGCCTTGTCGTTAACGCGCCTGATTGAGCAACCGGAAAGCTAGAGATTACAGTTAATAAATAAAAAAAAATCGATATTTTTCTTACACTAACGCATCGTTTCGCGTCAGAAGGCCTTTATTAACACCCCGAAGCCGTGTGGAGTAGTTTCATGATGGATGGATGCAGTTTTTTAGGTTTCAAAAACAGGCACCATTCACTGCCATTATACAGCTTGGAAGAGCCAGGACAATTTTAAATATAACTGCGATTGTGTTCGTCTGAAAGAGGAATGTCAGATACTGCCTAGGATACCCTGAGGATGAGTAAATCATGGGCTAATTTTCAATTTTGGGTGAACTAACAGCAGTGATGCATTGTTTCCTTGATTACCGCTGTAAACACTAAATGCATTATACAGAGGCAAAATGAAATGGAAAATGCCATCTAAACTGCTTCTTAAAGGGGTCATATGATGCGATTTCAATTTTTCCTTTCTCTTTGGAGTGTTACAAGTGCAACGCAACGCATAAAAAGACAGTATAAGTCATTATAATCAGTAATTATGTCCCCACTGGATGCAACGAATGCCTCGTTTATAATGGGTTTTCATGTTTTTGAATCATTGCTCCGGCCTGACAGGGCATCATTCACAGTATGGTAAGAGGCGTAACATTTCCCTCACACGCTTGAGGTATTCACAACGCACTGGATAGCTGGCCAATCAACCGCCGGACACTCATTCATCGAATCCTCCGGCCGCGCTGTGTTTCGTTGTGAAAGCGAAACTACTTTGTTTGGTCTTCCAAAAGAGGACACGACTATAAATCAGTGTAAACCGCATAAACACATTTCATTACACCAAATACACAAAATAATGTTCTTTTTAGCAACATCATATGACCCCTTTAAGACAGTCAGTTCCCCTCATACTTCGTGAACGGTGAGCTTGCTCTGCCTGCTAATGTATTTTCTCCTCTTTGCGTCTCTGGCCTCTGTTAACTCTCGTCTTCAAGCGTATATTGGAAGCCTGTTGCACCTGAGTAGTTTTGAAGATTGTTTTTGAAGGTTGTTGCCTTTGAAGTTTCAGCGCATTTGCTTGTGAGGAACAAAGGACTCTTATGATAAATGTGGAGGCACGTGGGCGTGATGTGTTAAAACAACTTTACCCATTACATAGGCCTACCTGTTCTGTACTTTGTGCAGTCCAGTTAAGTTCTACATGTAATGTATGTCTATAGGGAGCACACTGTATGCCTGGAGGCAGTGTGTCATGCTGGATTAGAAAAAGATCTTTCCAAAGTGTTGCAAAAATGTTAGTAGCTCTAGAATGTCATGATGCAACTTTAACATTAACATTTGCTTTCATTAGAATTACTGAAATAAACCATTATTTAAAAGGGCGTTTGTGTACTTTTGGCTATAAAGTGTATATTCTGTGTTAGCACTGTGCATAATTTATTCAAAATGTGAATACACTTATTGATTTACTGATGCATACTGATGTACTCCTTCTGGATGTGTAGTCTGCTCTACATAAAGAATATGCAGATGGACCACACGTGTATTTTAATGTAAATTATACTACGGTAATTACCATTAATAATCACGATTACAATATCCAGGTAAATAATCAACAATCGTATACAAATGTCACCAGCCCAGTAAGTGTGTATTTAGTTGATGATTTAATGGTAGTTCAACAAAATGTTTA